GCGACCCGCCGTCGTGTCATATTTAATGTTTAATTTGTACTTGAAATAATTCAATACGTTTCTCAAAGGGAAATCTAGACGGCAATAATTATTGCATTCGACCTACAAACTCAATATCTCGATATTTATCCATGCAACGTTCCAGAATAAATGTACGTACAGCCTCCATATATCTATCGTGAGCTTGTCATCAAAAAAGAATTTAAAGATTTTTTTTTATGAAACTTATTTTTTTAGACATATTTATATAGCATTTATTAATTCTGATGGTAAATCTTTTGCTTACATAAAACTGTGGCCTCATCACAGAGCGAAGTTCATAATACATTATGATTTAATTGTTGCTGTCACGCGGAGAGTCGAGCTTCGGCAACATTCACGTTATTTTGGCCATCGTTTACACTGTAATGTCAGAAATGTCAAAAAATGATGTTAAAGTTATTTGCAATTTATAAATAAATTAAATAAATGATCTTGTATTAATGAAATTATTAGTCTGAAATTATTAGTTCGACGAAAGATTGAAAGGTTGTTCAATATCTCTTTTAGCGATGTTTTTCTTCGGGTTTATGAACAATCAAACGTAGAGAATTCAATTGGCACGAAAAAAAATGTAAGATCAAAAAGTAATAAAGAAAAATCGAGTAATCAGAGATGAGGACTGAATTGGTAAGGGGCAACGAAGCGAAGTTAGAAATCAAAGCTTAACAAGGAAGCAATTCCTATCATTGAAAGTTCGTTTTCCTCGTCAGTGGCCACCATCGGAGTATACAGTCGGCGAATGCGCATCAGATGCATTTCGGAGGTGGGAGGGTACGAGGGTGCGGAATGAAGAGGCTGTAATCGGGAACCGTTTCTGCACGAGGAAAAAGAATTGGCCGCGCTCTTTCACCTCTTTTTTCATTTTTCTCTCTTTTTGTGCTCATGTATCGATCAACGTGGCACGACGGAATGCCAATTGTCCATCCGGCCTGTGAATTCGTTCGGTCTCTTCATTCTTTTTTGTTCTCTCATTTACGCCCGCGCTCTACGGACAGCAATGCACCCTGCTAAACGCACCCCATGTACATTTTATTCGGCTCCGTATCATCTGTTCGTCCTCGACGTATCTATATGTGGCGTCGCGGCGGACTATTCTCGGAGTGAAAGCGACTCCTCACGCACCGTTCACCGCCGCCGCGTGTTTCGAGAAACGTTCCGACATCCAACACGATACATTCTCCCGGCAGTGATATACGTTCACCGTGGAAATCGGGGGTAAAATGGTGTCCAGTTATGTCCCGAATGAGGCAACGATCGAAGATGAAAAATTCGTCAGTTTGCAGTTACAGATGCATGAACACATGAAAAAAAAATCTCTGACAGAAAAACAATCAACGTAAATCTTTCTCTTTCTTCGTCCTCTCTCACACTTTCTTCCTCCTTCTTTCTTTCTCTTTTTTTCTGTCATTTTTTTTTCTTTTATTCAAACCGATTCTTTGACTCTAATACGGCTTAAAGCAGATATAAGTTGTACACGAACGAAATTATCAAAATAAACCTAAACATTTTATATCTTAATTCTTTTACGATTCAACATAGAATTTTTTTATTCAAAATATTCTTCTTTCAAGCTTCTCATGTAAACTGCGGGCATCCCAATGTGAATTTGCGAGAAGATTTCTTATCAGAGTTAATCGATGAATTTGATCGATTAAAGCTATAGAATCAAAATATTCATAATTCGTGATTCAATTTGCAGGAGATTAATGAATAGTGTAAATGGAAAAATTCGTCGAGTTTACCCATGCTTGTCATTTTTGTCAATTCAGCGATTTTTTGGCGAAATTAAAGGGCGCGAATCAATCAATTGTATTCGTTCGTGTGTATATATATATATATATATATATATATATATATATGTGTGTGTACATAAAATTATACCATACAAATGATAAACTACTAATTGCAAATAATATAGAGATCCCATCAAACACAATTTGAATTTCTTCAAATCTATTACGAATCGCGAATTGCAAATCACGAATCATCATCGCACATAATTAGCATACGGCATATATGTATTTCGAGGAATTTATCGCTACATCAGTGCCGATCACGCTGATGTACATCAAGTCATTAACACGATCTCAGTATATCCGAGAATTAATATCGGATGAAAATCCCTCGGAGGCAGTTTGCGTTGCGCTTAAGGTCAAATAAGTTTGCCGCTGCAACAGTAGTGGTCGGCAAGCGAGGGGGTTGGCAAGCAAGGGGGTCGACGACAAAGTGCGAGACAAATTGAGCCTGGGCTTTGTAAGATGCGGTCTGGACCACGGAACGTGAACTCGCTCGTAGTGTCACGTAGAGGCCGGAGGCTGTCCGGGGCAAAGGGGTGAAAGGCCCCCCGCGTTTCCGGTGAGTCGTAAGACTGCTGTGCGAACGGAGGGAAAAGAGATTCCTGAGCGACCGCAGGAATTTCACGGCAATCTCGTCGTCACGACGCGCCGCGCCGCGCTGTCGCGTTCATAGAGATTCTCTTCTTTCTTCGTCGCGAGGTAAAAGGGGCAGGAGAGGGATTACACAATGAAATATATTTCTCCGCTCTTTCGTGCGCGAACACGTCGACGCACCCTCGCTAAATATAAGCCAGCCGCTTTGCACCGGCAAAATCCCACAAATCACAATGCTGCACAAAAAAACAACGCGAGGAGGGAAACGAGTCTCCCGCGTCGGATCCATTAGGTCAACTTCTCCTTTTGCCACTCTTATACCTCTGCTAGTGTCCTCTCACCTTGCTAGATGAGAAAGAGAAAGAGAGAAAGAGAAAGAGTGTATGTGTATATGTTACGATAGACGATCTGGATTATTCGATAATGCTACTTAAGAGCATTTTAAATGTCAGACCGATAAGCACGCTACTACTTCTCTCGAGAAAAATAAGCTCGCCAAAGTTCAATTGGATTCTGCTCTCGTTACAAATTGTACGGATCTATTTCTCTCCCTTGACTACAAAGCCAGATAGTTTATATTCTGAACAAAAAGGATTCGTTTAAACACTTCCTTTCGACCCGAACCAGATTACAACATTGAACAACGACAGCAATTTATATTGAAACATGTGAGAGTCTTAAATAACGAATTAAGAAAATCCTCGCAAAATTTAAAAACTGAAGATTTTTTTATTTTAAATTATTTAAGTTCGAGCAAATTCATCGCGTGAGTTTTAAAATTAAATAGATTTGTTATAGTAATCGCAATTCATTATAATCAAATATTTTCTTATTTCTTGATAATAAATATTTACGGAAATAATAAAATCCATGACTGTGAATATCTGTAAACCATATATCTGTGTATTGATAGATTGTAACAGTGGATGAATCGATTGTAACGCGTCGAGCAATGAGAGTTCAATGAAAGAGAGATACAATTATATTCCAATTAATGTTTGAAATCGGAATGGCTCCGAGACATCCATTCGCGATGTATATGACACTGACCATCGCGCGATGTAAAACTTAACGAACCTAGCAAAATGAAAACTTTTATTCGCAAGTTTGCCATTGAAATATACTCGCGTAAATAAATTCCGCGAAACCATGAAAATA